TTTATATAACCTTTTGCGTACTTTGCACCTCTAAAAACTGCATCGTTCCCGGCAGAAGTTCTAAGCCGGATGCCGTTACACTCACCATTAGTGAGCTACAGCGATGAGGTTTAAAAATATGCGCCCCCATATTTTTAATCAAATCAAAAAACAATTCACAGGTGACAGCCGTTCCGCCGGAAATATTCGAATACGCATGAATTCCGCCAAATTTCGTTTTCTCTTGCTCGTATTTTTAACCGGCAGGAATCGCTGAACGATTCCAGAACAATACGCGGGAACAACAATTAATATAAAAGCTGCGATTTTTATCGCGCGCAGTCTCTTTTCTTTTCCATACCGTTCCTGCTCCTATACCTACCAGTTCCGAATCCTCCGGAACCGCGGTGGCAACTGACCGGCATATCCTAGCAATCGCTGCATCGATGGGAATTTCCGTTGCAGAGTATACTCCGTCACGCCGAACGTTCTGTGCCGCCGGTTTGCTTGCTGCCGTTTTCTACGCACCGACATAATTTCAAGGGTAGAGAGTGCTCCGTCTCTGTCGAGTTTCCTCGATCAACGATTTCTCAAACCACTAGGCTTCGACAGTAACAAAGGGATAGAGTTTTTTCTGCCTCGGGGTGTTCTCGGCCGTCGAGTGCCTAAACGCATTCTTCATTTTCTCCATATTAGTTGTTACAACGGAGAAAACTCTCGCGCTTCTCGCAATGGGTACCGCGAATGCAACTGCGACCACAATTTGCTGGCGCATATCCGCGAGCCGCGTCATCCAATCAGTTGCACAGCGTTGCACGTCTGACTTGCGTCCCGCGTCCCACGACCCGACACCGACCCCGGACACGACGTGTCCGTATCGCGGCTACGAAACCAAGCCATATCGCATTGCACATACTTAGGAAGCAAACTGGAAAAACTTCAGATTCATCGAACCAAGTGCTCAAAATTAGTAGCAAGTGTACTGGTGCCAACTATATTGTGAGATTTGATTCAAGATGTGAAAGAAAGTAAATTAGGATATTCACTGATTATAAAGATGAGTCAATTGATGTAAATAAATTTATGGGTATTTATGGGTATAAGGTAATTTATGTATAATGTATTTATTTCTACTCATGATTTAAAAATACTGTGTATTACGAAACATATCTTTTTTTTATTTGAATACGCGGATAATACAATATTTACATAGGATAGTATTATTTGGTCAAATATTAACTTCTATTCATAGTTTTTAATTTTTTCAAATAAAAAAATGATTATTCTGTTTCTTTAACTTTCTCAGATATTATAACAAGAAATATAAGATAGTGATGATTGACTTTCTAGGCTTTATTAAATTGAAAAAAAAATGGTCATTGATTTGAAAGATGCTCTAGTGCAATATTTATCCCAAGTCAATCTTGATATTAATGAAATGATAGGATTAGGTATAGGTGGGGCAAATGCAACGTATCAAATTATACCTTATACACGCTTTTGAAAGAGATGGTAATTTATTGGAAGTGATAATCTGTAATTTTTATGTATTCAATGAAGCATATTAATCAACATTTATATGAGTTATTTAAATTCTAAGTATTAAAATTTTGTAACAGATATTACAGCTGTAATTAATAAAATGCATATGCCATTTATTATATTTGTGTTCATCATTTGCAGACAAGAAACTTTTAGAAACATTAAAATTTTTAGTTAGAGAAACTCAATCATGATTTTCGAATTCTAGTATGAGACAAAGTTTATACAAAGACATACCATATATGTTACTATTAATGATGACACATAAAAAGTTAACTCCTCTTTGTAAAACGAGATGACTTGTATGAAATATGCCTGTAAAATCAACATTAGAACAAGTGGCTTGAGTTAAAAACTTATTTTATCGAAAGAACTAATAATCCAAAGGAAAACTATTATGCAGGGTCTACAATAGAAGTCGTAGCAGTCGTAAGATCTTAAGTAAAAAATTGACTAATCATAGATTATTTTTTTCATATTCGACCCCGCATTACGTGGCTATGACTTTGTATAATTTGTTAGAATTTGATTCAAATATGCTGTACCTAATTTTCTTAAAACATGTGCTTGAACAGATTAACTCTGTAAATCTTTTTTTCCAAAATCAAACAGCTGAAGTAACAGAATTATTTAGGGAACTCCGTGTTCTGATGTCAATGGCTCGCAGGATAATTAAACCTTCTTATTTGTACATGGAACATTCCACTAACTCCTATATATTTTGTATGGAAGATTTGGAAATAATGGAAAGAGCTGTGAATGATAAAAATACTTGGCTCCCTATCGAATCTGTAGACTTAGAAGAATCTTTTCGATGAAAAGCTCATATTTGTAATCTGTCATCGGAGCAATTAAAGCTCGTAAAAAGGCAATGTGCAAGCTTTTTTGTTTTATGTAGACAAATAGTGAAATGGTTTCCTGCCAATTTAAATTTAATTGAGGCTGTGAAGTATTTCTCATCAAAGTTATATATAATTTCATTAACCTGAAGTCTCAGTCTGAATTTCGTCATACACTTTTGAATTTGATACGTAAATTGAAAATGAAAAGTGGAATTTAAATTGAAATCAACAGAATGTTTTATTCCTGAGAAGCAAAAATAAATGTATATTGCAGGAGAAGGTATAGACATTCTTGAAACTCAATGGATGAAGCTTCCTGTAATACCTTGGACAAAGTATTTCGATGGAAAAGTGCCAAACAATTCAAAAAATTTTGGAATGAAATATTTCAGTATCAGGATGCCAAAAAAATGGTTTTCAAGGAATTGGCAGAGTTTGTTTTTTTACGAGTCCTTACACTGCCATTCAGTAATGCTGACATTGAAAGGGTATTCTCAATAATGAACGCAACGAAAACGAAGTCTCGAAATTTGCTATGTTTAAAAATGCTAGAGACATTGATATGAATTGAAATGTCAATACAGGTAAGAAAGAAATGACAACATATTTAAATACACGCAAAAAAATGTATGAATTGTTTACTTCAATTATGTACACAAATCTGCAAGATACAAAGTATATCCGCGAAAAATGTAGTAATGATGATAAAGTGTTGAAGGAAGCTTTAAACATTCTAGTTGCTGATAAAGATTGAAGATTAGATGTATTTGATGCAATACCAAAAAGAGTGATCCAATAATTAGCATATTTAGTTAGTTAGAAATAGAATGGAAATATGCATTCTATAAGCATAATGATAAAAGTAGGGTAAAATAATATAGAATTTGAAAGAATATGATACTAGGATTGTGTTGCAAAATTTATTATTGCCAGTGCTGAAAATGTATATGTGAAGTAAAGTGTAGATTTTTAGCGCTGGCAGTGAATTTTGGAACACAGTCTAAGTAAGATGGTATTTTCCTCCTCCTCCCTTCAAAAAAAGTGACAGCACTGTTGCTGGCGATGTTGCCACCATTATTTGACGAATTATGGGCTACCTAGAAGTTCGAAGTTGGTAATCTATATATGCTTCTGACAATCTAATAATCCTGCACGGAGCTAATCCACGAAACACATAACTTCTGTATTAAAAATGCTCATAGAAGTCTTAAAAACATATTTAACAATCTTATGAAAAAATCATTGAGCAACGCGATCATAGATTTTACTAAAGATAGTTCAATATCAAAATCTCAATATTGTTTTCATCAAGCAAAATCTTTTCCATTAGGAATACGGATAATGTGACGTTTCTCTCAACGCAAATTACGTAGTTATTTTCAGGAACTTCGCACTCAAATTTATGTAACAAGTCTATCCTGGTGATCCAAAGTTCTTAGAAGAAGATTATTATAACGCTATATGGATATTCATTGTATCTTTCCTGGTGATATAATATATTACATCTACGTACTGCGAACATATTGAATGATTAGTTATGTATAAAGAAATTATGCGGTTTAGTCGTTTGTTTTTTTTCACTAGAAGGTTTTTCACTAAAATTTTTTAAGAACGATGAGAAAAGAGCGACGAAAATTACCTTACGCGATTAGTAAAAGAAATACCTGTCTTATCATCCTATCATCTGTACGAAAACCAACATGCCCTCCTATGCAGACAATGAATTCATTTGCAATATTTGCAAATGCGTTCTTAATATACTTAAAAATAACGTCATGCTCGAATGAGATGAAAAAAATTGGCTAAGCACATACAAAGTAACGATGTTGCGTCGCATGGCAAAACATGGTCATTGAAAAAATAATAGAAAGCTTTTGGTGCAATTAGACTTTTATCGATGCAGTTTTATTATTGTATATTGTCAAAAAGTCGAAATTTTGAAGATGAAGCAATTTGAAAGGAGTAAAAAGAATGATTTTAATTTTGACGGAAAATCTCAAGAGATTGCGACATCAGCTACGTCAGAATCTACATACTAGTATCTATTATCGCCAAAGAAAAATACCGCATTTGAATAATACCAAAAGTGCTAATAATAATTTGCAAACTCCTTTGATTTGATGCAGAAGTGCACTGTTAAATATAAAAGGAGCAATGATAACCAAATTCTTTAAATAACATTTAATTAACCTTCCATATAAGTCAAAATGTAAAATTATAATAATTAATGTGTGATTATCATATTGTCCATTATATTAACATATACATTTAGAAAATAATAAATTAAATTTGAATCAAATTTAGTGTATCTTTTTAGTTAAATTATTCAACTTTATGGTTTTTTTAGTCAAATTAACAATTTATTGGATAGAAGCAGTAACCTACAGAAATGCTTAAACATAACTTTAATTGTGCAAAATTTGACATTATGAATTTAATAGTGTAAGTCGCATTTTTAATTTTCCTTGATCGTATGATGAAAACAAGAAGTGAAAAGTATATAGAGATCGAGATATTTTGGTGACACCAGAAAAAATAGAGAAATACATATATGTAAAAAATAATTAGAAAATTACTTAAATTTTTCTAATTTTAAGGGCGTTTTAATAAAAATTGTTGAATATAAAAAGCACTTACTCGACAGAAATGTTTAAAGCCGGTTGAGGATAAAGTCCTTCAGCGATACACGTTATTTCGACTCCATCTTTATTGTTTATAATCTTTTTCCTATACACGAGTTCGAACTTATCTTCTGTAGCTGTAACAAAAATTAAATATGATTTATTGTTTGTGATTAATGTTTGATAAATCTTAAAAGCAACGGATCCATCTATGACCTTGATCTTGACATATATAGTTAAGATCATGGCTTTGAGTGATCATCGGAAGGTTTTAGCCCGAGTTAGTATTTGTTTAAAATACTTAACAAAATACATTCCGATAGATAAAAAATTCTTTGCTTCAAAATAAATTTTCTGCTTTAAAAACAAAACATTTTCTATAAAAACATTATTTTCTTGTATAATTTTTGTTTTAAAGAAGAGAATTTGGTTTTAAAGCAAACATTTGTAATTTTGTAACGACTTCGAAGCAAGATCTACTTATGTTTCTCGCTGCCTGTGGACGAACATTTAGTTATCTTGAAAATGATGTCCAAGTGATATTTTGTAATAATATTTATTTATCAGAGGCATACTACTACTAGGAGAATTCTTTAAGATGTCTCATGTCAGAGATTTCTTGAAATTTTTATCTTTATGATATCATATTAAGTGATATCAATTTGTTCTCTCATGGAAGATATTATTATGTTGTATGGTATTTGAGCATATATAAATGTGTATGCGTCGCTATTTGATTCAGAAACTAGACATAATTATGATATCTTTTATGAGAAATTCATTTTTGAAGATATCATAAAAATAACATTTTCAAGAAGCAGACTCATAACTTGACCTATGAATTTAAGACAGTACAAAATACTAAAGGATAATGAAAAGATGTCTAAAAGATGACGAAAGTATGATCGTTTTGTCTCTTCAGCAAAATGAATATATTATAAGATAGACTCTTTTAGTTTTGTTGAAAAGACAATTTAAAAAAGACATCTTTTTGTCATCTTTCTTTAATTGTCTTCTCAGTAAAGCTAAAAGTCAATTAAAAGACATCTTTTCGTATTACTGAAAAAAACGATATGGAAAAAATATCTTTCCGTTATTTTACTTTTCATCATTCACCCGCGAGCAGTACGTGGCCTCGCCACCAGACGGACGTGGTGGAGTTTGGATTCTCGTGTTTGAAAATATGGGATAGAATAAAAGGTATTATTAGAGAAATTTAACTTCTGTTCTAACGAATACTCATGAAATATTTTTTGAGAGCAAGTCCTCAAAGGGAACTGATGAAAGACGGCTTTTGTTGACACATCATACCGCAAGCATTGCAGGCATAATGGAATATATATTGACAGTCATACACATAAATGGAATGTATTAGGTGTACAAATAAGTTTCCGCTGTTTTTATCAAAAATTAAGCATTTATTGATGTGAAATTGCTTGTTGAGTCGCTCCTAATGTAAGTGCAAGTTTTTTTTGCATTTGGCATGAATCTTCATTCAATAATGCTTCCAATTCAGCGTCTTCGTACACTTTCGGCTACGTTCTTTGTCTTCGACGTCAAATTCACCGTTCTTAAATTTTTGAAACCATTCACGACAACTTCTCTCACTTAAGGCAGCCTCACTATATGCTTTTACAAGCAATCGATGAGCCTCAGCTGCAGATTTCTTCAAATTAAAGAAGTAAATCAAAAGTTCCCGCAAATGACGCTTATTCGGCTCAAAACTCGGCATTTTCGCACAAAAAAAATATATGATGCTGCTACAAAATCGCTAGTATTTCAAGATTATGTTATTGACAGATGTCCAACCTTACGATATAATTAAATTTTACATCAGACAATTTTAACCATAGCTTGCTAGTGGCGCTGTCTTTTGTCAAATGGCGGAAACTTATTTGTATACCTAATATATTAAGTAATACAATTTTGTTTAGTTTTTAATACAAATTAATTCAGATATCTAATGTTATTAAACGTTACATGTATCAAAATACTAAAAAGAAGTCTTAAAGACAACTAAAAGATGTTTACAGAAGTCATCTTTCAGATGACTTTATGTTCTTTGAATATATTGGGTCATTTAAAAAGTATCCGCGGTTTTTTCATTCAAAAATTGAACAAAAATCCGCGGATACTTTTTAAATGACCTAATATAATCGATATATTTCTTTTAGACATCATAAATACGAACTCTATATGTTAATATATTTTGGATATCATAAAGACATGCAATTTGAAAAATCTTTTAGGTATCATTTTTGTGATCTCTTTCTGTTCTCAAAAAATGGCATTAGATATATCTTTATGTGATCTTTCAGAAATTTTTTTAAGTTATCAGATTCAGAAATGATATATCTTAGAAATCTTTTTGATAACATATTGTTATGTGGGAAGGTATATATTACATTCTTTCCTGTCTAGAAAGTTGTAAGTCTTTTGGCACGGGAAGGAAGATGAGATGGACCTTGATTCGCTTGGAAAGTCATGGGCCTCTAGGATAGGAGATGGGGTGAAACTCGTTTCACTTAATGTCGTATGTCCCGTGGCAGGGAGGAAGTTTTGCAAGATTTGTGGGACATAGCACAGCGTGAGCCGCCATCAGTAATGTACATATTTTACTATTATACTTATAAAAATATAATATAAAAGTATAGAATAATCTTTCTTATAAAAGTATAGAATATAATAGTAATGCATCAGAGATTTTATATAATCAATGTGAATAAGAATGAATCAATTTTGTAGACAAGAAAAAGAGAACACATATTAACATATTTTAAATATAATTATGCATATTTATAATTAAATATAATCATACATATTTATAATTAATTCCTTATATATTTTTTACAGAGTATTACAAAATTTATTTATTCCAAATGGTATAAAATTAATAAACTTATATAGACATTATTTAGAGTTTGGGGAGACGCTATTAGTTCTATTTGTGTCATTCTATTTTTGTTTTACATCTAATAAATGATAAAAATAGGAAGATACAAGTAGCGCTAATAACGTCTGCTCGAACGCAACTAATATATGTTTAATAAATAGCATTTAATATATCAATATTTCTTACAGCATTAATATTAATATTGATTGAAGATATAAAAAATTCATCCAGGCGCTAAAGAACGGCCCATATTGAATTTGAATATGGGTGTGTCGAAATCGATCAATGATGTAACGTTTGCACAAGACAATGTCCTGCCGTGGAATTTGTCCCACGAATCTTGTATCAATACTGGGGGGAAAGTGGAGATAATGAGTTATTTGTAGCTATTCTTTTAAAAAAAAAGAGATGTTAAGTCAATAGTCGAATATATCAAAATCTTTCACTTCTTTTCGGCAATGCCGATCGGTTCTCTCGCAGCACTTACTTTGCGAGCGACTGTCATCGTGGAAATCGTATGTTTGACGGTTGTGTGTACCGAAGGTTAAGTATAATCAATTAATAATTCTTTTTAAAAAAAGAGATATTAAGTCGATAATCAAATATATTGAAATATTGTTGCCTCTTTTCGGTGATGCCAATTGGTTCTCTCGCTGCGCTTACTTCGTGAACGGCTGTCATCATGGAAATCATGCGTTTGAGTATCAGTTATGTGTATCGAAGGTTAAGCGTAATCGATTAATAAACATTATAAAAGGATTAATACAGGGTGCGTCATCAAAATCCAAATTTCAATTTAAATTTTCTGTTATATTGTGCCTCCGCCAGAGGTTATTGTTGGCGTCTGAGAAAACCTGATGCTTCTAGTAAATAGTCATATTCTCAAAATGGCCGCGATGTTGAAACCAAGTGCAGAATATAATCGAAGAACTGCGATCACCGAAGGCTTTCGCGCTGGGCGCTCAGAAACGGAAATAATTCGATTCTTTGAATATCCGAGATCAACCGTTTATGACGTTGTGGCAAAATATACGGCTTTAGAATAGTCCAAGATTCCAGTATGCCAGCGAGAAAGAGTCACTCGAAAGAACGCACCGCGAAGACCCTCGCAGTCGTTGAAAGGGCTCAAGCACTGATTTCGGATGACCCAGAGTAAACATTACGAAAATTAGCATCGATTGTTGTTGTAAACGAGCGAACAATGTGTCGAATTGCTGAAGAGGACTTTCGATACAAATCGTATGCATTAAAGATACGACAGATGCTCTCTGAGGCTGCCAGGACAAGTCGAGTTGCTCACTGCAATCTGCTATTGTGTTCTTTGAAAAACGAAGCGTCGGGAGGAATTAAGTTCTTTTCTGACGAAAAAATTTTTACTATTAATACCAAAATCCAGAGGAATGACCGATGGCTCGCCTACAACGAGGATGTTGTTGCCAGAACGAAATTTCCGGCTAATGTTCACGTGCTAGGTGTTGTATTCAGTCAGGAGTGATGTCATGCCATCACATTTCTTTAAAAAACTATCACAAAAGAAGTATATTTGTGTTCTGATGGATGTAGTGAAGTCATGGATGGAAACTGTGACGTCCGGAAGGCCATATGTTTTTCAGCAGGCCGGCTCATACGAGTTATTTGATTCAAAATTGGTTTTCAGACAACGTCGATATGTTTTGGTCTAAGGAATTCTAGCCTCCCAACAGCCCAAATTTAAATCCCTTGGATTACTACGTATGGAGCGTTTGTGAAAGGATCAAACAAGTTTCGGCAGCCCAATGTAACGTCATTACAAACCGCTATTAAGGCAGCATTCGTCAGCATAGACAGCGCTACATTACAACGTGCGTGCGAACTTCAGATCGAGAATAGAGACCGCTATTCAAACTAAAGGGGGTATATCGAATAATTGTGGTCTACAAGGATCTCCCAAGTACCATGTAAAAGGACTTTTTGTAATATTTAATTTTTCATTAAAAACATTTTGTTTAAAGAAATTGTTCGATTTTTCCGGATTTTTGATGTATGTAGTGTAATGATAATATTATAAAATGATTGCAAATTGTTGTTGAATAAATTTCTCTCCTTCTTCTTTGGTTCCGTTTCTGCGTTGATGACGACTTCTTCTTTTCCTTGGACGTTAAGATTAATTCAGATAAGTTTAACTTTTAGTATTAATCATTAATCTTTTAACCACTACTTGGTATTTTATAATAAAGACTTGATACTTTATGTTGTTGTATTTTA